CAAGCCCACTTTTGCGCTCTCCTCTTTTACTCTGAGCAAGAGGCTCTTTAGATCCTTTTCACTTTCAGCCATTAGAGTGGTATCATCTGCATATCTGAGGTTGTTGATCTTTTCCCCAGCAATCTTAATTCCCGCTTGTGATTCATCCAGGCCAGCATTTCGCATGATGTACTCTGCATATATATTAAATAAGCAAGGTGACAGTATACATCCTTGTCGTACTCCTTTTCCTATGCTGAACCAATCAGTTGTTCCGTATCCGGTTCTAACTGTCGCTTCTTGGCCCTTATACAGGTTTCTCAAGAGACATGTGAGGTGGTCTGGTACTCCCATCTCTTTAAGGACCTGCCATAGTTTGTTGTGATCCACACAGTCAAAAGCTTTAGCATAGTCAATGAAGCAGAAGTAGATATTTTTCTGGTACTCTCTTGCTTTCTCCATAATCCAGCGAATGTTGGCAATTTGATCTCTAGTTCCTCTACCTCTTCGAAACCCAGCTTGTACTTCTGGTAGTTCTCTATCCACGTACTGTTGAAGCCTAGCTTGTAGGATCTTGAGCATGACCTTGCTAGCGTGTGATATGAGTGCAATTGTGCGATAGTTTGAACATTCCTTGGCATTGCCCTTCTTTGGGATTGGAATGTATACTGATCTTTTCCAATCCTGTGGCCACTGTTGCGTTTTCCAAATTTGCTGGCAAATGGAGTGCAGAACTTTAACAGCATCATCTTCTAAGACTTTGAATAGCTCAGCTGGAATACCATCACCTCCACTAGCTTTGTTGTTAGTAATGCTTTCTAAGGCCCATTTAACTTCACATTCCAGGATGTCTGGCTCAAGGTCAGTGATTATACCGTCGTGTTTGTCAAGGACATTGAGGTCTTTCTTGTATAGTTCTTCTGTGTATTCTTGCCATCTTTTCCTAATCTCTTCTGCTTCTGTTAGGTCCCTACCGTTTTTGTCCTTTATCATGGCCAGCTTTGCATGGAACGCTCCCTTGATTTCTCCAATTTTCTTGAAGAGATCTCTAGTCCTTCCCATTCTATTGTTTTCTTCTATTACTTTGCACTGTTCATTCAGGAAGGCCTCCTTATCTCTCCTTGCTGTTCTCTGGAAATCTGCGTTCAGTTGGGTAAATCTTTCCTTTTCGCCTTTGCCTTTCGCTTTCCTTCTTTCCTCTGCTATTTGTAAAGCCTCATCAGAAAGCCATTTTGCTTTCTTGCATTTCTTTTTCTTTGGTATGGTGGTGATTGCTGCCTCCTGTACGATGTCACGAACCTCTGTCCATAGTTCTTCAGGCACTCTATCTATCAAATCCAGACCCTTGAATCTATTCTTCACCTCTACTGTATATTCATCAGGGATGCGATCTAGGTCAAACCTGAATGGCCTCGTGGTTTTCCCAATTTTCTTCAGTTTAAGTCTGAATTTTGCAATGAGTAGCTCATGATCTGAACCACAGTCAGCTCCAGGTCTTGTTTTTACTGACTGGATAGAGCTTCTCCATCTTTGACTGCAAATTATATAGTCAATCTGATTTCGGTGTTGCCCATCTGGTGATGTCCATGTGTAGAGTCGCCTCTTAGGTTGTTGGAAAAGGGTGTTCGCTATGACCAGTGTGTTCTCTTGACAAAACTCTGTTAACCTTTGCCCTGCTTCATTTTGCTTTCCAAGGCCAAACTTGTCTGTTATTCCAGTTACCTTTTCACTTCCTACTTTAGCATTCCAGTCCCCTATGATGATGAGGACATCATTTTTTGGTGTTAGTTCTAGGAGGTGTTGTAGGTCTTCATAGAACCGGTCCACTTCAGCCTCTTCTGCATCAGTGGTTGGGGCATAGACTTGGATTACTGTGATGTTGAATGGTTTGCCTTGGAATCGGACAGAAATCATTCTGTCATTTTTGAGATTGTATCCCAGTACTGCCTTTTGCACTCTCTTGTTGACTATAAAGGCCACACCATTTTTTCTACGAGATTCCTGGCCACAGTAGTAGATATAATGGTCTTCTGAGTTAAATTCGCCCATTCCTGTCCACTTTAGTTCACTGATTCCTAGGATATCGATGTTCAGTCTTGCCATCTCATTTTTGACCACGTCAAGCTTACCTTGATTCATAGATCTTACATTCCAGGTTCCTATGTAGTATTGTTCTTTGCAGCATTGGACTTTCCTTTCACCATCAGACACATCCACAACTGAGGGTCCTTTCGGCTTTGGCCCAGCCGCTTCACTCTTTCTGGGGTTACTTGTACTTGTCCTCTGCTCTTCCTCAGTAGCATATTGGACACCTTCCGACCTGAGGGGCTCATCTTCCGGCGTCATATCTTTTAGCCTTTTGATACTGTCCATGGGGTTTTCTTGGCAAACATACTGGAGTGGGTTGCCATTACTTCTCCAGGTGGATCACGCTTGGTCTGAGTTCTCTGCTGTGGCCTGTCCGTCTTGGGTGGCCCTTCACGGCATAGCCCACAGCTTCATTGAACTGCGCAAGCCCCCTCGCCACGACAAGGCAGTGATCCATGAGGGGGAATATAAAACATACTAACACCATTTTACAATATCTTTTGCCACATCTTCATACAATATACAAAACTTTTATTACTGATATATATATATTACTGCTATATATATATATATATTCTCAGGGCTATTTTGGGGCAGGAACGCACAGGAACGGAGTTCCGGCTGGCTCCCAAGTTGGCCACGCCCAGCAGGAACTCATTAGCATAATAGGCCACCCCCAACAGCAGAAACTCATTAGGATTGGCTACATTAACATGCAAAGGAGTTCCTGCTACAAAAAAAGCCCTGGGTTTTGACAACAAACAAGGTACACAGAATAACAAGCAAAAGGTGGGTGTGGCTGGATAACCACACTTCTGGTAACATGGGGGTGCGGCCTAATGTGCTAATGAGCTGTGCAGTCAGGGGTGTGGCCTAATATGCTAATGAGTTCCTGCTGGGCTTTTTCTACAAAAAGAGTCCTGTATATTCTCCTTTTACATATTATCTCTTACATTATGGGAGGTTCAGTTCCCTCCAACCACAGCCACCAAGCCCTCCATTTATTTCCAGCCGTTATTTCCTTATCACACTGTGCCAGCTCAAGTTTCTGATGTATGTACTCGATCGTTCTAACAGAGGAAATATTTCTCAGACTTCTCTATTGTTTTGCTCTCATCCCTGTCAAAACCGTGTGCCACTACAAAACTGATCAACCTAACTGTTGATCACAGTGCTTGCCTACAAATGTGCAGGCCCCCATTTCGCTCTCCTTGTATGTCGCCTACAGGTACATCTTTGCGCACATTCAGTCCTTTTATTCTTTGTTTTACCTCTTCTTTACGTATCTGTCTTCTTTCCATTCTCCATCCCCCTTCCAAACATCTTCTATGGGGTCCTTGCACACCTTCTTGAGGTTATCCACTGGCTATCATCTCCCATTTCTGGTCCTTTAATTACGCTCCACTTAGAAGTCTTCACAACCCCTTCCCACACTTCTTTGGAAGTCAGACACTCCCTCAAAAAGAACTCAAAAGTTAGTTTATTCTCCCTGTCACTCCTGCTCATGAGTGTTCAGTTATTGCCATCCAAGGGTTTTCCCAAAAAAATGTTTGGGACTCAGTGAAACATTCTCCACCTCGTCTCCTTCATTTCTGGGCAATTTAAGCTGCCATCTTTTCTTTTATAACAGAAGCTTTATAAAATATGTTAAGTCTCCCTCCCCCATTTCTGAAAAGTTAATACGGTCTCCTTTCTGTTCCATTTTTTAATGGAAAGTTTCAGGTGAGGGTAACTGTATTCAGTCTGGTGGGGTAGTTATGTTGGTCTGAAGCAGCCAGACAAAGTTTGAGTCTAGCGGTGCCTTTAAGACCAACAAAGTTCTATTCAAGGTATAAACTTCCCTGTGTATCTGTACTTGAGGAAGTGTGAGAGCACACAAAAGCTTATACCATGAATAAAACTTTGTTGGTCTTAAATGTGCCACTGGACTCAAACTTTGTATTAATTCTGTTGTTGTAGTAGTAGAACAACCCAAATCAAGTACAAAAACAATAAAGTCAATAAATAAGTATACAGTACAAAATATAAGTTCAGCATAAACTTAACCATCAAATGGATTAATTTGTTAAACATGTCAATCTGTAGAATGGTTAAATCAGTAAAGCGCTGAATTGTTAAATTTATGAATTACTGTTGTTTAAAACTGGTGGATTTGTAGTTTAGTATAGGTTGTGCTGTTAAAGAGGGTTAAATCACTAGAATTTGTATTTGTAATTTGGAAGATGCATGTACTTTGGAACAAATTGTATGTATGTTTAAAGTTTTTTTTAAAAAAATTAAAATCTATCTGTCCCCCCCCAAATAACATAAAATCTATTTTCCCAAAGTCAAGCCCAGCAGCACCTGAAGAGCCAACGAAATCTTACAAGGCAGACACGCTTTTGTGAATCAAAGCTCACCAGCGGATTTCAATAGAACTTTTTTTTTTTTAATTGGACCTTTTGAAACCCCCCCCACAAAAACCCCCCACAAAAAACCGATTTCATTCCCCGCATTGAGAAAGCCTCCGGCTAAGCACGCCGCTTCTCCCCCGGCCCTCCGCCTGTCCCAACAAAAGGGCGGGAAAGAGGCGCAGCGGCTAATCCGCCCGCTCTCTCCAACCCTCCGCCGCGGTCATCCCGCCGCTCTGAGGTAAACCAGCCGCCGCTGCCTTTGCAGCCCTTTTGTCTTCCCTCTCCGGCCACCCCCGGGAGGGAAGAAGCAGCGCCGGGCGGGCATTTCCCGCCCTTTGGGCACCGGCCCCTCTCCCTCAGGCGGCGGCGCCCCTCACGGGTAGGGGGACGACGACGGGAGGCGGCGGCGGTGGCAATTGGTCCTCGGGAGAGGCCGGTCGAGGCCTCCTCGGCCAATGAGCGCAGGCCAGTTCGGAAAGGGGCGGCGCCAAGAGCCGGTTTATGTGCCCGCACGTTAGCCGGCCGCGGGTTCCGACGGTCATGGTCGAGTCCGAGCAAACGGCCCGCGGGTTGGGCAAAGCCCTCTCCTTCGTCGAGCCCGCCCCCCAGGTGCTCGAGATCGGGGGCGGCTGCAAGCCCGTGGTCGAAGTGCGGGTGCTGGTGATCAACACGGGGGGGACCATCGGGATGGTGCCGCAGACGCAGGGTGAGTGAGCGAGCGAGTGAATGCGTGGGGCGCGCAGGCTGGGGTTGCCAGCCTCCAGGTGGGGGCTGGAGATCTCCCGGAATGGCAGCGGATCTCCGGACGACGTCCGTCACTTAAATTGCTCTTTCTTCATTTAAAGCGTTTGTTCTGCTTCTCCTGGAGAAGGTGGCTGCTTTAGGAGGTGGGCTGCATGGCATTGTATATCCCCACCGAGGTCCCTCCCCTCACTAAACCCCACTCTGGCAGGATCCTCCCTTAAATCTCCAGGTATTTCTGAACCTGGAGCTGGCAACCCTAGTGTGTATCCAGGGCAGTTCCCCTGGATGCGCACTAGGGTTCCCAGCTCCAATACCTGTCCTGGTAGAATAACTCCGCTTTGCCACCTGTCCTCCAACCCCCACCAAGATGCTGCATGCGTCTTAATCCTTTTTTAAGGTTTTAAAAGTAGTTTTCGCAATAAACACTGTGGATAGTGCAGGACAGCAGGCAGATGATGAAATCACGGGCAAGGAAAATGGTAGGATAGAATGGGCATTGTTGCAGAAGAACTGCACGTTGGGTAGGTTTAATAATCAAATACTTTAAATAAGCAATCTTGAAAATTGGGTCACACCACTGGAAGTTCTCTTTTGTTAAAGGGTTCGTAAGCAGACACGAAGACTGGAGAGGTAAAAAGATAATAATAATTCCAAATGTGACTTCCTTTTTAACCTGTTTTTACTGGAGTCCGTGGCACCTTAAAGATCAAAAATATGTCGCTCCAAGCAGAAGGTTTCATGGGCTAGAGCCAGCCCACTTCAATTTATGTGGTGATAAAATTTTGTTGGTCTCTAAGGCGCCCCAGGAAGCAACTCCAGGGCACTTCGCACACACAAGATGCTGCAAAGTCCAGTAAAAAGATAAAAAAGGAAGTCATTTTTCCTAAACAGTTTTGTTATGACCAAACTTCCGTTAATTCTGGAAGTGTTTGCTAAAACTTCACAAGGCTCCTTTCAGACAGGTAAAAATTCAACAGGTGGAGCATTATTCAGTGCATCTACAGATGTCTGTTGAATTTCAGCCTGACATAGCTGACTAAGGCAGTCCCCAAGCGGGAGCATTGGGATGAGTGTGTGTGTGCATAAAGGTAAAGGTTTCCCTTGCTCGAAAGCCAGTTGAATCCAACTCTAGGGATGCGGTGCTCACCTCCATTTCAAAGCCGAAGAGCCAGCGCTGTCCAAAGACGTTTCCGTGGTCATGTGGCCGGCATGACTAAATGCCGAGGCGCACGGAACACTGTTACCTTCCCACCAAAGTGGTACCTATTTATCTACTTGCAATTTCTTGCTTTCGAACTGCTAGGTTGGCAGGAGCAGGGATCAGAGACGAGAGCTTACTCCGTCATGTGCTACTCGGATCTCAAACTGCTGAACTACCGACCTTCCGGTCTGCAGTTCAGTGTCTTAACCACTTGAGCCACTGCAGCCCTGTGTGTGTGTGTGTGTGTGTAGTGGTTGTTAAACACACACACATATACACGTTCAGCTGAATGTGTGAATCGAGGTTGTCTCTGTGCAGCACGTTTTGTGGGTTTCTGATTGCCTAGGGAGAATGGTGTACATGAAGGCTCCATGCAGACATTCAACTCAATGTTGAACTAAGGCCCTGTTCATACGAGCCATTTTGGGACAAGAGTGGGCCGACGTCAACATCTGCCTGGCGTTGCGCTCCCGTCTCCGATCCGGCCCTTCCCCCGATGAAGCGCGGCAAAAATGAACCACCTACCTTCGGTGGTTCATCCATTTGGGCCGCATCATCCTGGTCGTGGGATCGGCGACGCGTCTTGCCGCTGCCGCATCCCCAGCCCCCTGCCCCTCCCACGGCAGCCTCCCCCTCCCACTCGTATCTTCCTCCCCGGCATCTGATCATGCCGGGGAGCAACGACGCGCGGCTAACGGGATCCGCGGGATCCCGCCGCGGCGTTTCTTTTTTGGCGCGGCTTTTAAAAGCCGCGCTTCGCACCGTGTTTTCCCTGCCGTGTGGCAGGGGCTTAAGTTGAACTAACTTTTACTCTCTGCTGCCAATATTAATCAAGCTTACAGTTTTCCAAAGCAGGATTGTTAGAATGTGCCATTTCTCCTCTCTTTTCAGTGCATGCTCATCCACATTACTGATGTACTTACAGGTGGATGGCTGTGTTGGTTTGAAACAGCAAAACAAAGTTCGAGTCCAGTGGCACCTTTAATTTTATCCACGCACATGAAAGCTTATGCCTTGAATAAAACTTCGTTAGTTTTAAAAAGTGCCGTGGGATCCAAACTTTGTTTTATGTATTTGCGTTACTGTTCATTCAACCAACATCTTGAACACCTATTCCAACTAACAATCTGGGTGGTGTGACAATCCCAGAGCTATCTTAAGTAGCTTGCAGAATGGCATTTAATGTGATGGTTTCACCCAAATTTGGAAACAATTTTAGAGTAGATATAGCTCCCATGTTCAGGATAAGCAGAGATGGGAAAACAGATGAACTAGAATCTTCAAATTATGGATTTTATGCAGATATTTTAAAGGCGTGTCTATTTAAATAGGGATCTAGCGGTATTTGAAAAAGTTGGTCATGATGCTTGAGATATACGTATATATCAGGGGAGGGATTGCCCGAGAGTTTACATTAGGACCAAATAATAGCTCTTGAGTTCAAATCATGGATGTACGGCATCATGTACAGTTTGTACCTGTGGCCAGCAATAGAAAAGTTAGAGGTTATGTTGTACAAAGGCTCTACCTTTAGGTATGATTCTTACACGCCCAGGGAAGTTCTGATCGCCACTTTGGGGCAAAGAAGCAATTTTTCTCCAGGCCAGTTTGACTGGAGATCCTGGAGGGTTTTTTGTCATCTTCTGGGCATGGAACAGTGGTCACTGGGGGTGGGGGGGGGAAGGTATTTGTGAATTTCCTGCCTTGTGCAGGGGGTTGGACTAGGTGACCCTGGAGGTCCCTTCCAACTCTATGATTCTGTGATTCTTTGTGCAATGAAAAAATGGATTTGTGTATGGAGTCTCAGAGTGGCTTACAACTCCTTTCCCTTCCTCTACCCACAACAGACACCCTGTAAAGTAGGTGGGGCTGAGAGAGCTCTCTCAAGAACTGTCCTTGAGAGAACAGCTCTGAAAGAACTTATGACTGACCCAAGGTCGGACCAGCAGCTGCATGTAGAGGAGTGGGGAATCAAACCCTGTTCTCCCAGATTAGTGTCCATGCTTCTAACCACTACACCAAACTACCCCAAGGCACACCCTATGAGAACATACAATTTGTAAGTTCCAGGTAAGACCCGAAGGAGGGTTCATTCTGTCTTATCCATCAAGGACACTTGTAACATGTACAGAATATGTAGTTATGCGTGTTTACGGTGATCTGTCATGGCATCGTTGGCAGTTGTTTTGAACACGGTGTAAGTAGAGACCCAGAACTCAGCATACGGTCAACCTCTCCACATCTGGAGCAATGTTCCCTCTAAGATGTGGAGTCTTGTGAGCAAAAATTCTACTTTGTGAGCTACTGGTATTAAAGTTGTGAGCGAGCGATTTGGCTGCTGCATAAATTAGTTTGCTCTGGAGCCATCCCTCCTGAGCTAAGACAAAAATGTGTGAGCCGGAGGCTAAAAAACTGAGCTAGCTCACACTAACTCAGCTTAGAGGGAACACTGATCTGGAGGAGATCCTGTTGTCCACACCATCTGATCTGCAGCTCCATGGCACACTGTCAGTTATATCTTGTTTCTCTCTGTGTGTATCTAAGTCTGTCGCTTTGTTCTCTTGTCTCTGGGAGGCTAAGTGGTTTTGGCAATTGTTTGTTATCTGTCTGTTTCTGAATAAACTGTACTGTTGCTGAATAAACCGTACTTGTTTCTGTGAATCTCTGGAAAGATGGGGAGGATTGTGGGGAGTTCTCTCAATAGTCCTGGATCCCACTTCTCTCCAGGAGGGGTCTGACCCCCCCCTCCCCACAGAGGCCAGTGCATAATTTAATCCCTGAGAGTATATTCCTCTCTGGAGCTTGTCAACTCAACTTTGGTGAGATGTTAGCTTGTAGGACTACTTGATGCAGGCCGTCCCTGTGAGGTAGGGCAGCACCAAGAAATATTTAAACCATTTTTTTTCCTGACACCTATTGGATGCCTAACTTCTCCATGCTCTGTGGCTGCACTTCGACCTTAAGGAACTGGGTCCTTCATATTCTGGGGACCATCTCCATCTATGTGACAACTTTAGTTGTCGTTTCAGGGTTTGGCAGATGTTTCACTATCTAGGGTGCCATTTCAGACCAGCATTAGGCATTTTTGTTAGCCTTTGTTTGTTTATTGAATGGCTTTCCCATTGCTCAGACATTTGGGGGTGTATCTTTTGTTTTAGCCTAAGACCTGCAGGTATACATATTTAAATAAATGAACAGGGACAGACAGGGGACATTGCTGAGTGAAGACCTCTCCCCCCAATCCTCTTTTAGATATATGTGTGCTCTGTGCTATGAACAGCCATGTGCCAGGCAGAAATTCAGCAGTGAGGCTTTCTGTTCCATGGCTATACAGTGATGGTAAAAAGTCCCAGTAGCACCTTTAAGACTAACAAACTTTATTTTAGACTAAGCAACTGTATTGTAGTATAAGCTTTCGAGAAACACAGCTCTGTTTATCAGATGCATCAACATCTGGGAATCTCAACAAACTTTATTGTAGCATAAGCTTTCGAGAAACACAGCTCTCTTCGTCAGATGCATCTGACGAAGAGATCTGTGTTTCTCGGAAGCTTATGCTACAATAAAGTTGGTTAGTGTTAAAGGCGCTACTGGACTTTTTACTATTTGCAGCAACAGCTAACTCCTCTGGATCTATACAGTGATGGGGAGATGTGGCACCTAATGGATTTCCGCCTCTCATGTCATGCAACTCTTAAAGGCACAGAGCCTCTCTTGACTCCTTTCCCCTTCGCTGTATATTTTTCTGCTTCTTCCATAGT